TGACAAGCGCCAAATGAAAAGGTTATAAACTTTTCGCTGTTTTGTGCTATTGCATCTATTCTTTTGTTTTGGTTTAGTTCTATGTTTAGTTCATTTGCTTTTGCTATGATTAAGTGTGCGTCATAGTTTTTCAGGTTATGAAAGAAGATAGGGATTTTAAAATATCTAAATGAATAATCCAGATTACATTTTACATGCGCTGCGCCCCTGTATTTGCCTGTGAAGTGGCAGTGGTCGCGAACCTTTTCATCGTCAGGTTGGAATTTCTTATTACATATCGAGCAGCGGGTTGCTTGTTTAAATTCTGTCTTTTGTTGAAAAGTTAGTTTATCCATTGGTTCATTGACATCCATTTTTGCAAATATATCTTTCTTAATTTCCGTCAGTTTCTCTACAAAGTGTTTCATACAATCCTCACCCCTGTATAAATACGGTTTGCAAGTATTATCAATCCTGCTTACAACATTCAACATATAACCGCAAGGTTTATGTTCTTGATATGTGCCTTTTATACCATTTTTAGAGTTAGTCGTTAGACATTCAAAATCACCATAGATTACAAAAGGACAAGGCAATTTAGTATTATGCTTTTCAAATTCTATATAGTGTCTTTATCTGGCATCTTTGTTTGTTGTCCTTCTGATGCCATACATCCGTTTTCAAGATGTTTCTTATATACCTTTTCTGATTGAAAGGGATTTAAACAATGGTGGCAGTAAAACTTTTTATTTGTGTTGCTACTGCTTTGACCGTTTAATAATCTACATTTATTTTTAACTAATACGTAGTGATAATTATTATCTTCATCATAGATTTTTAGTAAATCAATTTCGTATTTAGCATTTCTATTTTTAGTGCCTCTATGCAATATAATCTTATTATCATTTAAGCTGTCATCGGGTTCAAACACATTTATTGAAACTGATTTATTGTTCTCTTCAAATCTGTCAATGTCCCTATTGCCAGTTGGAAAATGCACACCATCTCAGTTCAAAATATCATCTTTCAGTTTATTATAGTGGAACATTTCCTCTGGGTGGTGTCTGCTTATTTTGTCATAGACTACGGATTGAATACAATATTTGAAGCATTTTTGGTCTCTGTTCTTTATGTTGATCCATGCCTTTTTTAGCTTAATCCATTCAGGTAATTCTATGTATCTCCCTGCTCTTGTTGGGTCATATTTGTCATAGTGAATGGTTATTGTCAAAATCTTCTTAAATCTTAAATGGGATGCTGATGTTTCTAAATTCTGTATTTGTAATAAGATTTGTTTAACACTGTCTTCAGTTAATCAGACAGTTAATTCTGTAGTTAATCTTAAGAAGTTCTAATGCTTGCGTCAGTTCATCCTCATTACTAATATTGAAGCGGGTTGATGGTAGGGCATATACAAGTTCCTGACTTCCTAATTCATTTCCTCCATCATCAAATTCAGGTTTTTCAAATAATCCTTCCGTTCTTATGTTAAGTTTCATGCTTCTATTATTTCTTAAAAAATCTGATAGTCTTTGTTTTTGGCGCGCAATCATTTCTAATCCCCTTTCTCCTTGAAAGTGTTTATTTTCTAAAACTATTGAATTAGCGTATCTTCTAAATGCTGATTGAATATCTCTGACCCTAAATTTATTTCTGATTGCGTGTTTGGTTAGTATTTGTCTCACTCTTCCTTCACTGAACGCATCTTTTGCCTTGTTTAAAGCATAATTTCTGTGTTCATTAGTTTTCTTGACCGTCAGTAGTTTCTTTGTTAAGACACTAGATATTGGTTTGTCTTTGTTGTATCTGAATTTCTTATCATCTATTATTATTGATTTTAATTCTCTTCTTCCTCGTTTTGGTAATTCTGCTAAATCATTACTCAATAAATAGTTTATAACCTTTTCATCATATAATAGTATATATTTTATTTAGTTAATTTATCTTTAAGTGGTGTTTCAAAGAATTCTACATTTTAATCTTGGAATATATACTGAAAGACTAAGTTATTTATATAAGTTTTTATAAGACGAATTGTATGAAGGGCTTGCCTGTTGATGCGTTGCGTAAGATCGTTCCTTATAAAATTGGAGACCCTAAATATTTGACAATAAAACATAGTGAAGCATTGAAGAGAATACGGAACACACATAAAATATCAAGATTTGGTCCTAAATAACAAGACATTTGAAACCAAGAAAAAAATATATGTAATTGAATACTGTATTGTGAGAGAGGGAGTGCCATTTGGTTTAAAAAGTATAGGAAACATCATAACAGAAGAAAAAGAAGAATTACTATCTTTGATTTATGAAGAAGTGAAATTTTAGAGTTAAACTTGATATTGAAGTCCAAATAGTAGCAAAACTCCCAGATAAAGAATATGGAGACAATGAATTTAGTTATAGAGAAATTTACTTCATGCATGACTTTGATGAATATGTAGATGAAGATAATATAGAAGATGTATTGAATAAAGCAGATGAAGAAATAAATACCGACATAGAAGAAAACCAAGATAAAGATAGTATAATAGGAATACAAGCATTTCATTTTGAATTGATAATTATTGAAGATATTTACTACTACCATATTTCTAATAATATTTATTTATTAGAATTATGGATTTGTAAGATAGGGTTATTAAAGGGTAGGGAATAATGTTTATTGGTGTCTATTGTTTTGTTTTTTTTAATGTTGTTCTTCGCTTGGTTTGTTTTTGTTTTTTTGGTTGTTATAGGAATTCTTGGAAAAGACATTTAAGAAGATAATCATATTTATATGTAATGGATAAATTTTGTAGATACTGTGTTAAAGATTTACCAATTGATAATTTTGAAGATGGATTGAAGACTTGTAAGACATGCTTGGAATACAAGAGAAAGAACTATGACAAACATAAAGATAAAGTGAATGAAACACGAAGAACTAAATATAAAGAAGATGAAGAATATAGAAAAAAGAAACAGGAACAAATACAAAACTATCGTGATAAAGTTGCCTTTTGCAATGTATGGAATTCATCAATGAAGGCACAATGTTATTCAAGACATTTAAAAACAGAGAAGCATAAAAGGAATTTAGGAACGGTTGATGGATAGGATTTTGTAAAATGAATAAGGTAATAATGCTTTTGACTGCTATGATTTTGAAAAAATGAATGAGGTAAGTATGCTTTGACAGCTATGATTTTGAAAAATTGAATGAGGTAAGTATGCTTTGACTGCTATGATTTTGAAAAATTGAATGAGGTAAGTATGCTTTGACTGCTGTGATTTTGAAAAATTGAATGAGGCAATTACGTTTTGATATTGTTGAGAAAAATGAAGCAATTAACAATATATAAAATTAACAATGTATAAACTGGCTTTTTGGACTGTTATGTTTTTTATTGAATAAATGTTGATTTGTTATACTGCTATGATATTAGTTTAGAAAATTTCACTGAATCAACGTGTTTTACATTTTTTTCACCCACCCCCACCATCCCGGCCCTACCAGCCAGCCAGCCCACCCACACCAGCATCCCGGCCCTACCAGCCAGCCCACCCACCCCACCATCCCGCCCTACCACCATCCAGCCACCACAGCCGCCAGCCAGCCCCAGCCAGCCCAGCAGCCCAGCCAGCCCACCAGCCCAGCCCGCCCCAGCAGCCCGCCAATCCCCGCCAGCCCACCCACCCCACCCCCCCACTCCCCCCCCCCATCCCTGCCGTACCAGCCAGACCAGCCCACCCACCCCCACCATCCCGGCCCACCAGACCAGCTTCCCTAATTCTCTCCACCTCCAGGCCTACAATGCCACCACTCAAGCTCAGATAAGAGGAGGAGAATAAAGGAGAAGGAGGAGGATAAACAACTTGTGATAATCTACACCCTCACCTGCAGTGGGGATAATAATGACACAAATGAATATCCATTTGGGTGAAATACAAATTCCCGATAATCTTGATGAAAAAAATGACAGTACTTTGGTGACTACCAAATACAATGATCATATTGTGAAAAAAGAAATGATAAAGAAATGGAAAAATGATAAAAATAATTGAGTAAATTAAAATCCTCTGTCCCCTGCTATAGGCTGAAAGATTTTTATAAAATTTAATCTATCTTAATATTATTAATTAGTAGATAAGGCAATTAATAAGTCATGATGAGTCTGGCAAATGGGCCGTGATATGCTTCCAAATGTTGCTGTGCCTCGTGTTTCCTGCTTCCGTTAAAGAATCGCTGGCTATCAGCTCTTCTTCATCCCAGTCGATCGGCAAGAAATGCTGTGAGGCAGGTCCTTGTTGCAGATTCTACTCGAAGTGATCAACACACGTAACTGAATGATCAGAATGACAGAAAATGTAACCGCGGGGGGTCTAAAAATTGACGAACACAAAAACGGTCTCATGATGTCGGTCTTATTCAAGCTTTCAATCATGCTTTCAGAGCAACGCTTTTTGCTGTGCCATGCATGAAGGTGTTTGTAATGCAGCATGCATTCCTATATTCAACTGTGCAAAGATCCATTTCGTCGGATCTGTGATACACAAACGATCCATATGGCAGGATCACAGAAATGCCTGTTGGGTTCAGATCCATATGGCAGGATCCCCAAAATACACTATTTCCAAACTCCTTCCAGACCCAGCGTACTGGGAGAGGAGGGTTCGGGTGAGCTAGTTTCTTTGAACCGAAAACAGCACAGTCAATCGCTATAGCTCTTCAAGCAAACAGTCGACACGACCATCATGCTTTCAGAGCAACGCTTTTTGCTGTGCCATGCATGAAGGTGTTTGTAATGCAGCATGCATTCCTATATTCAACTGTGCAAAGATCCATTTCGTCGGATCTGTGATACACAAACGATCCATATGGCAGGATCACAGAAATGCCTGTTGGGTTCAGATCCATATGGCAGGATCCCCAAAATACACTATTTCCAAACTCCTTCCACGTGCCCCAGCTTGAAAAGCTGCTCGACTTGCTGTCAGCAGCCAGCAAGGTGACCTAGAATGGCACGGCTATGACACTCAGGACCAAAAAGCGCCAAAGTGTGCAACCAGCTGCTGGGTCTGGGGCGAAGCCACTAAAGTGGGGAGTTGCGACAAAGCATCGCATAAATAAAGTCTCGCTACGGAGATTGAGGCCCACCTGCCTCGGAGCAGGGTCTTCTCCATCAGGCCTGTTTTGTTAAAGTAGGCTGTGGCCCCGCCTCGTCTGAGGCTATACCCACTAAACCTCAAATGCTCCACTTGGAAAAATTTGGTGAGCTTGTAGAACTCATGGCGAAATTCAGTCCCGCTCTTTGTCCAAATGGGCACCCGCATCAGATGCTGGCTCCGTTTTTCTTCTAAAAGCTGCTCCAGCAACACAATGAGTTTCTTGTTAAGAATCGTGACAGATTCCTTAACATTGTGCCGGGTTCCACCCTTAGAGGTCGGCAATGAAACAATTCCTTTCTCACCTCTGAGTAAGAGGTCGATGGGCCTAATAGCTAAGAGCTCTCCTGTTCGGAGAAAGCAATCGAACCCCAAACCAAGCAGCGACGCCAAGCTAAATTGACCGTGAGCCAAACATTTGGACATCATGGCCCAAAGCAAGTCAGCTGGAATGGGGGGAGCTCTAGCAGGCACCTCCATTTTTCGCCATACCCCGAAAAGTTTCCAACTGAGGGGGAGCTTCTTTCGTGTTGAAGGCAAAAAGTAATGAATTCCGCTCAATGCATCACCAATGGTGTTCAGTGGTGATCCTTTGTGAAACTCGGTTTCTATCCAATCCGCTATCTGGTCATCCATGTCTTCCATCGTGGAGACGTCAAATACTGCTTTGCTCAACTGTCGGACAGCATTGTAGTAGCGGCCCTGGGTCTTCGGAGAGATTCCAGCGTCTCGCAGGACAATGCCCCTGCGAGCCCTTTGCCTTGCACGGCGAGTACGGATGCCAGCAAAGCTAGGTAGCTTACCCATTGCTAAGTCCGACTGGCTGTGTCGGTGGGATTCTCTGTGCTTTCTACATGGATCAGGATGGGGAAAAGGTTGAAGGCAAATTGGGTGGCAGCAATCTGGCGCATGACGTGCATGATCATGTCACTGCTGGAGCGGCCCTTGCTGATGATGCTCATGGACACATAACTGTCAGTTAAATGAATAAACCTGCAATCAACTTCGGCCAGGTGACGAATACGCCATCTAAAAGAAAGTAAAATGCTCCTCATTTCCAACAAATTGATGTGTTCTTTTCGAGCCCATCTGCATGAAAATACTGACTTCCACTGCCACCAGTCTGCCGATGCACTCTGCCGAGGAAAAGCTCTCGGGTTGAGCACTCTGCCGGTGGTAACCCGAACATCCGATCCAGTGTGGTTCACCCGGGTAAGTAATACTCTTGTTAAATCACTTACCGTTACCCCCATACCTTCAGGGTGACCATAAGAAAGTTTACGTGCCAAGGGACAAACTACATCCAAGGAGGCAGAAGATCCCGGTGCTAAACCCATTCTATTGGCCAGTGTCTCGTAAGAGAGAGAAGGGAGGAAGCGCGCGCAGGAGGACCACGCGAAAATGATGAAGGAGTACACGCTAAACGAATCTCCAATAAGCGAGCATCTCTGATCCTCATATGCTGTCCAGCTCTTCTTGATTTCACTTGCCGAGAAGCACACAGCCGTGTGCCCCCAACCATAACCATGAAGTAACTCTCTCTCAGATGCCTCTGCCAATCTCCATCCATGAGCACTCCAGAAAACATACTGATCCTTATACTGGTAAGGAGGGTACTTGAAATTGTCAGCAGCCCATCTGCGTTGAGCAGCAGAGGGAGTCCGGTCTAAGCCTGCCGGTAGAGGAGGTGGTCGTGATCGCCTAATCGCTTTCATACATGTTGGGAGCACATGACCTTGCTCATGGCCGGGCCACTCGCTGTCTTCTCGAATCCACTGATGTAGAAGGGGGTAAGGAGCCTCCGCGATGATCTCCCAGAAACCTTCTTTGCGAACAACCCGAACCCCCGCGAGACCAGACACCTCACGATTTGTCCAGCAAAACCTAGGACGTGAAATAGGCACCGCATCAGAACATTGGACTTTGTACGGGAAAACACCCAGGGATTGGCTAATCTCAGCAGCAGCTTCCTTGTCCATTGAGGAGACATTTTCAACAAAGAAGAAGACCTTGAACTTACGACCAAAGACCTGACGAAGAAGCTCTAGGACTCTCAAAACTTCGCGGAATAAGCCTGACTGCTCGCCATGGAGATTTTGTCTAAAAGCTTTCACCTTTGACAAGTCTACGCATGGGAAGCCTGCCCAAAAGTCCAGCTGCTCAATATGGGGATAAAGAAGCATCCATTCCCTTACCATCTTCAAGTCAATGTCCCGAACATCTTCCTTAATGATCGCCTGTGGCCATCTCCTAGCGGTGACCCTGTTTGCTGCTTTGCAAGTGTCAAATGATACCAACCCGGCTGGTTCCACACCAATGATGTCATAGCACCTAAACGCACCACCTATCCCGTTGAAGAGCGAAACCACCAGTATCGGCACCTTCACAGGAGCTGCTCGTTCATCCAAGATTGACCTCGCAAAGTCCTTCCCCTCCTGCGACAACTCCCTGGCCTGGCCCACTGCACCTCCTGTACCTGACGCATCTGACGCAGTTGCAACATCACTGATTTGCGCACCCAAGAAAGAGTGGAACAAGCATCCTCCCATAACAAGCATAAGCAGTTCTTGACGTGCAGAGCATTGTTCTCGCATGGTCAACCTTTTGCCTGAAATCCATTTCCAGATCCAGTGGAGCCCGGCCATGCCAGCTCTACGGAACTGAAGAACATGAACCCAGCGCCCAACAGCAACCTGAAGCCACTTTCGTGGAACCGTATGCTTGCTTAAGAGAAGGAAGGTGGTCTGGAGGAGCTTGACCATTCGCAAACCTGAGACACCCAGAGAACGCGACCTCCCAGAGAACAAAGCCCCCAGCTCCTGAGCCTCTTCCGAGTTCACTACCTTCTTCTTTTCCGCGGAGAGCACCCCCGCCGCGTTCCATGCCTCCTCAGCCAGTTCCTGCAACCCTTTTGCTTCCCCATCACACGCTCCCTCAACCAAGCGCTCCCCAGAGAAGAAATTGTCAAGATAGACATGAAACCACGGGCAACCTTTCTCCTGCGAATCCTCAAGAACTTTACACAGCCAGACAGGTAGAGGTCTGTCTCTCTTGACTTGAAGCGGTTGAGGAAGTTTCACAGATTCCACTAGCAGCTGACTGATCTCTTGCATAACGGATACTGCCGAACTCCATCCCATGGGTAATACTCCACATGCCAGACAAAACTTCTTTTGAGGGTCTCGTCCGATTTCTTTGCCAGAGACAACCAGGTTGAAAGAGAGGAACCTTAGCCAAACGCGAGGCAAAGAAAAGAGGTAGAACGCAGAAGTCATATCGTTTTGGCATAGCCGCAAGCTTTCGGTGTCTTCAAGAACCAAGGAGAGGTACTGGGTCACAGCAGGTAATTCTTGTACGCATCCAGACAACTGCATCAGGATGGAATTGGAAGGGATGAGATTCATGATCACTCTCAGGTGTGGTCTGTTATCAGCAAGCGTTGCTGTTTTAGCCACACCAAACATACCGTTCAAAACTCGCTCACCTCTGAACTGGATCACCGAGTCTAACTCAATCCAATCGCAAATGTGCCTTTCCACCAAAAGATTCGCAACCAGCATCTTGTCATCACCCAAAATGTGCACTTTAGCTTGCAACTTGGGCAGGATCTGCCCTTCGTCCGCTACTAAACAATCTTCAGGATGAAGCAAAAATGACCTAGTTCGACCCTTTGTCCACTTCAGCACATCAATAGAGCCGCCATGTTCTTTGGGGGGAAGAGCAGGAAGTATTTGATCAAAAGTTAAGGGCTCCATTTTCGGGATTTCTTCGCCACTGTAGCTGACAAAACGGCTACTCAACTCTTTTTCCACAGCCTCTTCGGACCGTCCGAGTTCTGCATCCTGGCTAAGAGACCTCTGTACAGCGGCGCGCAAAGTTGAAACGGCGGTCACATCGCTCTTTCGCCAGCGCCCAGAGGGCGTCACTCGGCTTCCATGCATCCAATTAGAAAAATGCACGGACAGGAGCGTCCAGCACTCTTCACTATGGGCCCTTACAAAGCCACTGCTGTTCACCTCGTCATAGTCTAAGCTGGCCAAGGTGTTCAGAATCCCTTCAAGCTTGCCTAGCCTGATAGGGAAAGCCTCCTTCTTGCGGAAGCGATGCACGGCACAGCAGCCAGCACCAAACCCGGGGAGGACGCAAGAGAGCAAATTCAGCGTCCCCTCCAAGGTGCTCACCTGCTCAGCACGGACGGCCAGCCAAGCGAGCAAGCACCCGGTTTTCCGCATACTGTCAGCCCCTTCCAAGATCTTTCCAAAGACCCTCCAACCTGAGAGAGTGAGCACGGTGCGGACCAGCTCACTCCCCCGGGCCTGCGGCTCCTCTACTTCTCTCCTGGTTTCGCCTCCTTCGAGGCTCCCTTCGCATCCTTGCCATCTGTCTTGTCCTGTTGTGACGCCCACCAGTTCCTGCCCTTTTGCCACTTTTGCCACGTCGCTCCTTGCTGCCACTGCGCGCCGCCTCCTCCTCCTTTTGCTGAGTCTTTGCCCTTGTTCTTTCCTTTTCCTTTTCCTTCTCCGCCCTTGCCAGAGCTGCGCCAGCCATCGCCGTCTCCTCGGCCCCTTCTCCATGGCTCCAGGCCTTGGCTCCTGTTGACCAGCCTGCCATGCTTCCTGGCCTCGAGCAGCAACGACATGGGAGCACCCTGGGCTGCTTCGAGAGGGTGAAGCTCCAGGTGTTGGGCGCTCTGCCAGCTCCCGTCGTTTACCGCCGTGTGGATTGCCAGGAAACGGGCCGCCAACGAGTCGCCTAAGCGACCGAGTTGACCCGACCTCAGCTCGTCCAGACAGACAGCGAGGTGGTTCAACTCTTTCATGTCGCGGCTGTTCGGGCTGTGATAGGGCCGCACCATCAAGTTGAAGTACGTCGCCAGCTTCACGCCGCCCGTCACATCCTTGCTGGCCTCCGTCTCCACCACTGCCGCTTGGTCCAACGTGGCCTTTGCGTGTTGGACCAACATTTGAAGAACAGCTCCAGGCCTCTTGTTCGATTTCTTCTGTAAGGGGGCCAACATCTCGCTCGATGAGCTGTCGGTCTCCGCCTCCTCGAGGTCCCTGTCGCTTTCGTCCCCACTGCTCGAGGACCCCGGGTCGTCTCCTCCTTGAACTCTCCTCTTCTTCTTTTTCTTCTTCGAATCTTTCTTTGCGTCCTTCTGCTCTTTGCCCGTCTTCTCCTCTATCAGGGCCTCCACCAATGCCTTTACATTTCTTGATCCACCTCCACTTCCTTTGTTCTTCTTTTTCTTGTCCGCGGCAACCTTCAGAGCTCTGGTCTGCGCGGCCTGGGCCAGCAGCTGAGCCTGAGGGTCGCCGGGACTCTTCCGCTTCTTCTTGGCTTTCTTGGGATCTGCTCTCCTCGGGGATTCCGCTCCTCGTTCCTTCTTCATGTCCAGCAGCGCAGGAAGCTCGGCCCTGGCCAGCTTGTCTCCTACGCTCAGCCGTGTTACATGTTCCTCTGTCTCCTCGGCCGCACTGCTTTCCTCTGTAGACTCCTCGCTCTCCGTGATCAGGATCGCCTCGGCCTTCTTGGGCTCCTCTCCTCGATGCAGTCTCCCCCGCAAGGCCTTGAGTTTTTCTCGCAGGCCAGCGCCTGCATCCGCGGTCTCGTCCTTTTTCCTTCTCCTTCTGACTCGCGCCTGGTCGTCCTTCTTGGGTCCTGCCTTGGGAGTGCCACGGGTGGCCGGCCTTCTCAAGGCGGGCTTTCTGTCTCCCTTGCCTTTCTCCGCCATCATCTCGCCATACTCCTTCAGCACCAAGCGGCCCCAGGGTTTCATGTAAGACGCCTCGAACAGCTCGCGGTCGAACCAGCGCGCTGCCGCCACATGCACCGCGTAGTGCTCGTCTCCTTCCCAGCAAGGTGCTACCAAGCATAGGTGCAAGGGCCCTCCACGACGGTTGATCAGAGAGCTCAATGCTTTGGAGACGGTCTCGTCGCTGCAGCCAATGAATCGCCCATGAAGGTTTTGGCTCCCATCGGCCAGCGACTCGACCTCGGTCACCATGAGGGCTGCTTCTCCAACACTTCCCTCGTGGCCAGGCACAAGTCCTATCTCGAACTCGACCACGTCGCCAGGCTTCGGAGCAAACTTTTCCCATACTTCTCTTTCCTCAAACCTGACCCAAACGCCAGATTCAGCTCCTCTCAAGAGGGGCTCAGAGCCTCTAGGCTCGTCCTCGGCCATCTCAGTGGTCTCTTCTGTCTGACCTGGTCTCCAACCCAGGCCTCTCGCTCAACACACTTTCTGGCAGACTCCTGTGTACTCTTGCGTACGGGTCGTCAGCCAAGCGTCCTAACCGCTTGTGCTTGCGGCCTCCTCTGTGTTTGTTTTTCTTCTTCTTCTTCTTTTTGACGTTGGGATCTTCTGGGTCCTTCTCAGCGTCTCTCTTTCCTCCTTCTCTGTCCCTTTTCTTGCGTCTCTCTCCTTCTCGTCCTTTCCTCTCTGAATGCCTTTCTGTTTCTCGCTTCTCCTCACCGCGTTCTTTCTTTCTTGGCTTCTCTTCTTCTCTGTCGCGTCCTTCTTGGTACCTTCTCTTGATTTCTGGACTCCTTTCTTTTTCTTCTTCCTTGACTTCTCCTCTGGTTGTGGCGCTTTGTCCTCTCTTGTCTTTAGGCGGGCTCCTCGCAGGCTCTACAGGCCTCTTGTCAACCTTTCTGGTATCCTCTTTTTCGGCCTCTTCTGTCTCAGTTTCGTACGTGTACTCGTACGATTCCTCGGCGTCCTCCGACCCGCCTTTGTGGGGCTTGGCCGCGGATTTGGCCGACAGTCCTGAAGTAGCACGGCCTTCGCCAGCTACTCCGGACCGCTCAGCTGGCGCCGCCTGGGTTCCAGCTCCTTGGCCACCAGGCGCACGGGGAAACCCAGCACCCAGTGACCTCAGAGCCCGGACTTCCCGGGTGGTGCTCAGCACGAGGCTGTCAGCCACAGCCCTGAGACCTTGGGGGCCCGACCACCTATTGGTCAGCTCCTTCCCAAGGGCTTCCCACGCGCCACAACCCACACACCAAGTGTCACCACTCAAGGCCTCAGAGTAGTGACACTTAGCGCACCGAAAACTCATGAGCTAGTTTCTTTGAACCGAAAACAGCACAGTCAATCGCTATAGCTCTTCAAGCAAACAGTCGACACGACCATCATTCACATCAGCTCCTCATGTAAGTCTCGATATAAATCCTGCTCAGCTCCTCGTCATGTCTTGAGCTCTACAATCTCTACAACTCCGACTCCGTATGTCCTTGGCGCTGTTGTCGCCAGCTGCTTCCAGAGGCTTCTGGAGAAACACACCACGAATTGCCGGCCTCAGATTGCCGGAACATGCCGGAACCATTGCAATCGTCCATGGCGTTTGAGTGATGACCTTTGAAACTCGGCTGGGTATGGCATGTGGCATGGGTTGTAAAGTTTGGTGCAAAACTGAGAAAATCCTACACTGGAAACTAGCCTTGGAAACAAGAAACAATAAAAAAAGAATTAAAACACCGTCCACATAAGTTAACTTGATATAACTTACTGTAATAAGTTCCAATATATAAGTTTATATAAGTATATAGTCTCGAAATGTCTCGAAACGACCGAAGAAACAGAACGAGCACTGGGCGATCCACTTCAGCATGCGCACGAGCTCCTGTCGTCTGGCCTCTGGTGCCTTGGGACTTCGAAGCTTCGAACATCTTTAGACATTTCAAATATATTCAAATATACTTATCAAATCAATTTTCAAATCTATTCAAAATTATTCATAACATCAAAATCATCAAATATCATCGAATATCCCGAAGGTGTACTCACTTGACACTCTCGACACTCCTTTTGACACCGCTTTGAGACACGTTTGACACGAAATTCCTAGAGCTTTCGCACCTTGAGTGAGGTAGGGGACGGCAAGGCCACACACTTACGCCTCGGACTTGGCCATCGCCATCCAAACAGAATTCTCCAAGCAGCAAACATATTCTCCAATACTTTGACTGCTTTGACTGTTTAATGACTGTTTAATGACTGTTTAATGACTGTTTAATGACTGTTTTGACTTGCTTCAAGGTTGGCCGCCCAACTCATAGGGCGAAAACAGGCGCTGATCATCTGGCCTGATTTTGAACTGCTCATGCTGCTGATATTCCAGCAAAGACAATTTTCTCGCGAAAGTTAACCAAACATAACCAAACAATTCTTACAAGAATTGGGGATGCGGATGTTTCATCTTGGGTGACCCACTGCAGCAGCCATGCCAACACCTGAAGCTGTTGTGCAATGGCCAGAATGGCATCAATAGCTATACTCTCTTTGCTCTCCATGCACTGTAGGTTCTAGTTGGGAAAAGGTTTTGCAAGATCAGTGGACTGAGGGCTGCAGCTTTGTGACCGTATTTGTCAAAGCACAAATCCTCGATGTCCTGCATACTTTACATCAGGACCCAATGCACTAGCCAAAATTGTACAAAGAAGCCGAGAATTGAGTGCATTGTGAGTCTGTAAAAGTCTACAATGCATAATTCAACATTCTTCAACTCTCCAGCTCACGGCATCTCACGGCATAATTACGCCTGAAGCCATTCCGCAACCATGCTCTTGGAGAGCATCACCGTGTCATCTACAGTTGTGGCCAATCGAATCATGACCTTGGAAAACAATGCACGTTGAAGAATACGGTCATGACATGTCATGACAGGACCGTCATGACCGATTCCAATTCCGTCACGCTCCGTCTGTGCTACGGCACGCTCAGGACATCTCTTTTGCCAAGAACCAGACCACGTAATCCACCGCGTTTTTGGCTAGAGCAGCAAACTTACCCTTGAGATCTCTGCAAAGCGCCTCCCGTAATTGAAAAAATGTGACATGGCTGAACCCCGTGTCCAGCAAGCTAAAACATCATGCCCTGCCTTTCGCTGCTTTGCATTGGCTATCCCCAAAAGTCTCAAAAGAGCCTCTCCAGCAGAAATATGAGATCTTGACAAAGCCTGACAAATACACAAGAGAACACGAAACAACAGCCGCTTGATGTTCCTTGTAAGGAGTACTTCAAATTAAGCAAAGCTTGGGCGAACCTCAGCTCCAGCCTTCGATGACAAGAGATAAGCTGCACCATCCTGCAAACCCCAGTGCTTGTGCAAGGTCATTCTTGGTGGTCAGCTATGTGGTTTATGTCGGCAGTTTCTTGTCTGAGTTTAGCACCATGCACTGTTCTGCAAGCTGTGTAAGTTGCGAATCTGTAGCTACTTCACAGAATGCCTGGCGATTGGTATTGAGTCGCATCGATTGGCAATGTGGCAATGTTCAAATTCAATCAAATTCATGGAAGCAAGGATTGACCCCATGAGCTGACTCACGCATCAACCCAACGCTTAAGCCCACCTGAAGGAGTAGGTGAACGATGTCTAGACCCAGCAATTCCTGTTTCATCGGGCATCGTTCGAACGCAGTGATACATTAGGCTTGTATGCACAAAGATTACCCATCAGGCCATTGACGGACCGTATGGCCGTATGGACCGTTGATCTCCTTCTCAATGGCTTTTTCAACAGCTTCTTCAAGGTGCTGTGCGATGCTCTTTTTCTGTTGCTCCGTCAGATCCTCACGCAGTGTCAGAGTCACGCAGCTTCAAAAACCATGGTGACAACCAGACCAAATCTAAAGCCAAATCAAACGTATGCTGACAGAACCAAGGACATCAAAAAGACATCAAAAATATAGGAAATGAAAGAAGTTGAAGCTTCTACACCAGCGCGCACCCCACTGCTATCATGGCCTCTGCCTGAAGCACTTTGCGCAAGGGCTGGCTGCTGGGCAGCTCTGGTCGCCGCAGTGCAACTGCCTTGCACAAAGATTCCCAAGAAAATTCGACACGGCGAGGTGTCTGATACTGACTGATACTGACTGACACTGACTGATAGTCTTCACTCTGGCCAAATACCCCAGTGCCCCTGTCAGAACTGGTCCTCTGGTATGGCGATGCTGTGCAGAAGTCTCCTTTTGTCGCCGGCTTTGACCTCAAGGTGTCAGGAGCAAACGCGTTGCAGCTCTGCGAAAAGAGCAAAGAGGTCAACGAAACAGACCGGGGCTAAGACAGTCGTTGAGAAATAGAGACCTCAATCCATGGAGTCCTTCAATGGAATTTACGATGTTGGGCGCGAGCCAATCTCATGTCTGAGCTAGCTAAGTTCTCGGCCATTGATCACCCTGCAACCATATCTATGGAAGAAAGTTGCATGAAGGTTCTTTCCTTAGTTTCAAAATGTCATTGATAAAGATTGATCGTAGATGATCGTAGCACGAGTTCTCCTAAAACTTGTCCCTAGCAACATCACTCGTCACTGGTTTTATCCATCCCTCCCATGTTCTGCTACTAAAGCTGCTCTTTCAACTTAGGAGCCTCTTGAAATAAATATAAATAATCATAGTATATCACGGTAGTAAGATCGTGCTTTGAGTCGGTGGCATAGTGTGAGTCTAAATTGCTGCTTCGGAACCAGAGAACTTGTCCAGGATTTCTCGCATATTTCTCGCCTGGACCTGTAGATAAATAGCTGCAATAGCTTTGTAGGCATGGTTCTTTGGCAAATGAAACTGGTATACGGTACGCCACAATGATGTTGATGTTCCACCATTTGTGAACAGCGCAGCGAAACAAAGCCATACTACGGAGAAAGACTTAAATCAAATGCTCGTCTCCAAACAAAACTTTAATGCGACAGTCTCAAAAGCACACGTACCTTTTTTTCTTCTTCAGTTGGCTTTCGCTGTGAAGACGTCTTCGAAGCATAAAGCAGGAGTTTGAGCACGACCTGCAATGGCCATGTTATGGTCATGCCATGTCATTTGACTTACTGTTTACATTGACTTACATTGACTTACATTGACTTATTGTAATACTTACTCAGACTATCTCAGACTTACTCTCTTACTGATACTTATGAGATATGTAATGATACTTCTGATACTTACTGTATTTTGCGTTGGCACATCTCGGCTCCAAAGCACCGAGACACCGAGGCCGGTCCTGGCGCACCTGGTGTCCATACCTGTCCTGCGCCATCTTCGGCAGCTCCCCCGAACATCGCGACAGCAAATCTTGCCTCTGCCAAGCCGGATCCCGGATCTCTTGCAATTTAGGAGTGAAAAATGTGTGAAAGGATATGAAAGACATTGAAAGACTATGTTGGGCCGGATCTTAGAAGCACATAAAGATACATTACATGCATTTCCATAGCCCTTGCCTTTGTTCTTTGGTACCCCACTTGAGGCAAGCCTGAGCGTGGGCAGACTCAGTTGAGCGCCGTCTGCGAAGTCTGAGGATGAAAGTGATGAAAGTGATGAAAGTGATGAAAGTGATGAAAGTGATGAAAGTGATGAAAGTGATGAAAGTGATGAAAGTGATGAAAGTGATGAAAGTGATGAAAGTGATGAAAGTAAAGAATAAATATATCATGGCTTATATGACGCATGCAATCCGATTTCGATGCTTGAAATGCCAAAAGAAAAGCACCTCAATCACGCGAGCACCCAGGTTGGTTGAGCAGTACTCAGCCATGGTGGAAGAGCCTGATAGAGTGCAAGACCATCAAAAACCTATATCGCGAGATGTTACAAGATGTTACAAGCCTACATGCAGCCTCAGGCAGCGTAGCAAAGCAGCAAGATCATCAACCATCTGATTTTATTCTCAGCAAATCAAGAATGGCATCAAAGGCACGAGTCCAGATCACTTCTATTCAATTCCAACCGCTGCAAAGCCAGCATTGCACCACTGTGCGCCGGACGCTTGCTCAGGGCTTCGAGGATATCCTTGACGATGACATCTGCTTTGAGAGTCCTGGAATGGGCATGAGGTGGTTGTAAGATTGCTTAGAACGATACAATACCGTTTGCTATGTTGATTGTGATGTTTGTGCAAGAGGAAGATCGTCACCAATCAATACAATCCCCACAAGCTGAGTCCTTCCAGGATTAATCAGCTCACCTTAGCTGGCGCTTGCGCAATGTCGTGCGTTACTTGCCTGTGATCCAGCAAACAAGAGAAAGGTGCAGCAGGCATGGCACTGTAACGTGTTTTTTGAACCTATATTGAAAGGACTGCTGGAAGTACCATGGTCAGGACATGAAGTCAGCACCATGTTACTCTTTACCAAGTTGCTGTAAAGTTTGGTAACCTCCTTCTTTCGCTTCTGCTTTGCAGAAAGGATTTTGCCCTATCAGCATTGGATCTCTAGACACTCATCCCTAACCGCCCCAACCCAGCCTCAAGCTTAATAAATATCAAACCATGGCGCGGTCCAACAATGTCCAGCAATGTCCAACATGGTCATGTGGCATCATGTGGCATCACGTGGCCTTCTTCGCCTCCGGTTCATCTACAGGAGGCTCTGCCTTTCTTTTTGTGGCAGTTGCCTTGTCTTCCTGCACTGCCACTGCATGCTGTTGTGATCATGTGATAGATGTTCGTACAGGTCCAGGCAGGCAATGCAACTAAAAAAAAACCAAAACTTCGCTGCCTACGCTCCTTTTTGGAACCAGATCCTTTTCCTGCTCCCTTTGACCTCTTTGTTTCTTTGGGAGACTTTTTGCCTTTACTGCTGCCTTTGCCAGCTGCTTTTGGCCCGGTCCTTATATTTGTCTTCCGACGACTTCTCGCTTGTATTTTTTCTTGTGCCAAACCCATCACATATTCGCCATTATTGATCATATCAATAGTTTGTCCCATGGCAGATCTCTGGTCAACAGCACCCGTCGCACTCGCTGATGCTCCAAGGTACGTTGGCTTTCGCCCACGGCTTTTGTGTTTGACTTTCCCAGATTTGCCTTCACCTTGCCAAAATTCCAAAACCAGTCTGAGGATGTCTGAAGATTCTGAAGTTCCAGAAGTAGTTCCAGAATGTGGAATCAAACTGATTTATGAAAAAACCAAGCGCCCCTTGAAACGTGCTCGAAGCCTCCTCCGGTTCCACCCTGAGGCGACAGTGCTCCAAATTTTGCGTGTTCAGGACGTTTCAGGAATTGTGGCAAGTTCTTTCGAATTTTTTGATTTTTTCAATTTCAGTTTCAATTGGTTTCACTTGTTGAACGCATTCAGCACTATTCACTTTGGAGTTCTCGGCTGGTCTCATGAAGAGTTACTCGACTTCTGGTTCCCTCGCCTTCTTTGTCCCACGTCTTGCTTTTCGATTGGATTTGGTTTTCTTCGGTTTGTTCTTGGCCATTAAGACAAAGGAAACTAAGTCGAAAAACATAGCAGATGGAATGGTCAACAGCTGCAT